AGTCATTTTTACTCTTGTAAAAGGTTTCCTCCTTCAAAGACAGGACTATTCTAGAAGAATCACATACTACTGTTGTTACTGTTTGTAGTAAACACCGATAAGGTTAACTGCTCACTGCTGAGGACTTGCTGTGTGTTAGCACCTTACAGAACAGAAACCTGAATAATTTTCAAACATTTTCCAATAGTGTTATTCCCATTAATGGGGGAAAAGAATATAGATGCAGACATGAGATTACTTTTATTTGGCATTCTAAATTTTCAGAGTAAAATATTCTCTATTTTATGCATAGGTGTAACAAATACTTGCTTATATAGTGAAAATGAGAGAACACTTGTTTAGTATGTGGTATGAGTGTATTTATTCTATTCTGACTATTTTCCAGGCAGTTGTAATAAAACTGTTTTCATTATCATTCTAAATATTCATTGTATTTTTGCTTAGTAGTAAAAAGGAGTTTGAGTTTGAACTCAAAACTTAGATATCAAAGATGAACTGAAGAGGAAAGAGTATATTGTAAGCAGAAAAAAAATCCCACATTGAAAGCAAGGCGCATATAAAAGTGGCATAATGCAGCTGTGGGAGTGTCAAGTTTCACAACCAGTGTGCAAAGACCATATTGGCTTTCAGTGGCAGAATTAGATGCTGTGGAACCATGTTTAGGTATAAAGATTTTAGAGGAACAAAATAGCGCATTATATGGGACCTTGACCTTTGATTTTTTTTTTTTAGACCTCATTTTCAAGATTACATCCATGTGTGCTGAGTGAGGGCCAAGGGGTAATTTGCTTATTTGAAAATGCAGGATGAATTCTAACTAGACAAGATTGTTCCCTGTAGAATTTCCCTTGAGTCTTTAATTTAGGAGATCAAGAATGGACCGCACTGTGTATTTTCTAAGCATGTGTTCCCTCTTTCTGTGACCCATGTATGTGAACTCGTATTCCTTCTCAGTATGTGTGGGAAAAGCCATGGTTTGGAGGAGTTTAGAGTCACAGATAATTAAGGTAAAAAAATACCAAGTTGAAAATCTTTATTTGAAAAAAATAGATGGAGGGAGTTAGGAGATACAACAAACCCCTACATTGAGGAAGCCAGGGAAATGGTTGTGTTGATGTAAGAGTGGAGATGAATGGTTCTGTTCTAAGATACAGAGTTGTAGATTTCACCTGAACCTGTGTTTACCGCTTGCATGAACTTACATTATCTGAAAGACCTGCAGATAAACACTAGAGCATAACGTTTATGTGGGAAAGGGCATAATTTCTTAAGATACATTTAACAAAAGACACTAAAATTAAAGAGAATTTATGCTATTTTATGTTTATTTTGAGGACAGGGCAAAATAGGAGTAGCCTAGGAAGAAATCAAGTCATTTTAATTCAAAAGAAGATGACATTTGAACAAAGATCCTATTGTTCTATTGATTAAAAATGTATCAGATATATTTGCAAATTAAGTTTATATGACCTTTATGAGAATGAGAGTGAGCATTTATGGACATGTGATGATAATTTATAACATGAACACTGTGAGACATCTCCCTCCTGTGAAGGAGGGGGAGATTTTGATTCTGTGAGAAGGAATTATTGGAGACCTGAACTCCTGAATGGGATGAGATCATGGATGTATTAGGATCAGTTCATAGGAAGCAGCATGTGGATCTCTTGTTCTGGAACTGGGGAAAAGAAAGGATTTTTAAAGCAGAGAAATGGGAGACTGAAGAAAATGTAAAACCCATAGCCTGCTCCCAAAGATTCCACCTTCTTAGCAAGGTAGTATCTAATGGAAATACCAACCGCGTAGTCTGAGTAATAAGTTAGAAGACCAAACAATCCAGGATGATTGTCAGGAAGTAAGTGTGGTCCAGTTGGGGGTCACTTAGTGCATTGTTTATCATTTCTTGCATCACAAAAACCGTGGAATCTCTGAAAATCAAATTATTAGCTTGCAGTTCCTCAAGTCAGATATCTTCATGTGCTCACTGTGAATGTCACAGAAGCCCGAAATCAAGATGTTGGCCAAGCTTGACTCAGGTAAGAGGCTTTCAGGAGGAAGCCCCCGCCCTCATCCAGCTCAGTTTTGGGCTGAGAGGAGGCCTCAGTTCTTTGCAGGTGGGAATGTCAAGGTCTGAGCTCTAGAGGCCGTAGGTAGTCCAGTCCTGTGCTGCAGGCTCTTTCACACGTTCCCTCATTGCCTTGTAGCTTTTACCTGTTGGGTCTACAGCATGATCTCAACCAGTCGCCCCTACTCCCCTTGCTTGAACCTCACTTATGGTGATAGCCAGACAAATCCTTCTGCTTTTTACAATTCATTTTATTGCATGGCTTGCCCCCAGATTATCTCCCTTTTTTGGTAAAGGTAAAATCAGCTGATTAATGACATTAGTTACATTGGCGCAATTCTTTCAGAAAAGTGAATTCTGGGCATGGAAGTGAAGTCACATTCACAGTTGGGAAATAATGATGTCAATTTTATGATCCTACTCATCATCAATTAAAATCTACTTTTGTATTTCAATTCATAAGTATTAGATATTTTCTAGAGTGTCGTTGATGTGACTGGGAAGAAACGTGTAAAAAACCATTAAAATGCTTTGTTTTAAATGTCTACTTTTATTTTTGTCACTTAAAAATGGATAATTTTCTGATAATATGTTTAATTACTTTCACCCAAAATAATTATTTTAAAATGGCAAGTTTTGTTTTCACGTGGATCATCTTTGTGTTTGTATTTTTTAAGTTTAAATTCATTGGGTTGGGTCATTGTGATCTATGCATTGTTGGTGTTGTCATGAGATATCCATTTTCTGGCCAAGATTCCTGTAAAACAATGGGAGAATTCTTAGGGAATAAAGGGAAGTAAGCTGACATGGGAGGTTATTGGAAAAGCATGACAGAATGAAAAGGAATTAATGCATCATCAGAGCTTGGCTTTGTTTGTACTCGTCATGTAATGCTTGGAAATAAGTTGTTCAGTTACATTCTTTGTCAAATGATTAACAACTTATAGGTATTTAAACAGTATTGTAACTATGTGTAATAAAGTATATAATAATAAAATGTAATATTGGATGTACTAAAACAAAGCATAAGAAAATATTTCGTATGTTTTTCTCACAATGGCATAAATGTATCAATGTTCCTATTGACTATGATATAATTAAGTTTTCATTACCTTAGCATGATCATTACTTTGTCAAGATTAAGTACATTGCAGAATCAGGATTTACATCTGTTAGTGGGAGGTCTCTAAATTCAAGCCTTCAAAGTTATGCTATATAAATGATAGATGGTATATTTTATTATAGCAATTGATAAATTATATGGATTAGCATAACTTTAGGTTCCTTTTGAAATTTTAATTTCTGTGTGGTTGGTTATTTGTCTTTGTTTCCTCGTTGCCATAACTTTTCTCTTTTTGAAGAAATTGGCAAATATATCACTATAGTAAACACAATGGAGAAGTATTGTTAGGCATAGCATTTCCTAATTGCAGTTGACCTTGAGGTAAATTTTCCTTTGAATTTATGCTGGCAAGCAAAAAATTGCAAATTATTATTGTTTCACATCTCTTTTTGTTTTTTTAAAGATTTATTTATTTTTATTACAAAGTCAGATATACAGAGAGGAGGAGAGACAGAGAGGAAGATTTTCGTCCGATGATTCATTCCCCAACTGAGCACAACGGCCGGTGCTATGCCAGTCTGAAGCCGGGTACCAGGAACTTCTTTCCAGGTCTCCCACGTGGATGCGGGGTGCGTTCAAGGCGAGGACTTTAGCCACTAGACCATGCCGCCGGGCCCATTATATCTTTTTGTTAAGGATGAATATATTTTAAAGAAATACAATATCCAAATGGGAGAGCTAAATTTTAGTTTGAATTTTAAATGCTTATGGATTTCAGAGTTCAGTATCTGAATAAAAGGGTACTTTATGGTAAATATTTTTGTCTTGGGTATAAATGAGGCCACGTTACTTTATGTTCAATATGGAATGATACTCATGGGTTGTATATTTGTTGTGGGCTGACAAAATTTTTGCATGGCTAAGGAACTAATAACTCCAGGCCTTTCAGAAAACTCTGTAAGACCCTAGATGCCTGCTGAGTGGACAGCAGGAATAGATCTCATTTCTAAGAGGGCAGTATCATTTGGTGATCAGGTCCCGACAGGTGTTCTCTGAATTTTCCATGAAGAGAGATGGAGTCCTTACTGCCTTTGTGTTGATTGAAACAGTCTATTATTCATTCTATCATCTTGTTGAAAGGAAGTTGAGACATTTCCAATATTATTCAAAGATACTATCCAAAGATACTTCTGTAGTATGCAGGAAATTGCTTCTTCTATTTTTCTCCTAGAAGTAAATTCACTATTTGAGAGTAAAGAAACCAATGGTTGCTAATACTTCTTAAGTGATCTATAGAAATGAATGCTGCATCTAACTCTGTGGTTGGAAGTTCAGTTCTGTCCAATGGAGCATGAATTAGAGCTGAAAAAAAGTTAAAGTTATAAATGTGAATGCCCAAAACTGTTAATCTTTTTGATAGAATTTCTGATTTTTGCTGGAAGAGTAGTCTTCATTTGGAGGATTTTGCAGTGTTGGGTTACAAAACAGCACAGTATTATCAGCCAGCATATGAAACAGCAGGTGTGTTGCTTTTGATTTACCCTGCTTGAGAGCTGGATATTCAGAAGCAGAGGACTCTCCAGCCAAGCTCTCCATAATCAAGATGACCTGATGGGCATTAGCTTCCAGAAGGATGGTCCAGAACATTTTCTCAAAGATAACACTCAGACTTGCTTCTTTATTGATCTCAGACTTCCCCATTATTCATAATTTCTGTTGGTCTTGTTGTTGGATGTCGATATGATAAAGCACATCAACCACAACAGTGAATGTGCACAAGATAATAATTTTAATTCCTGAGCATGTTTCAGAAGTGAGTTCTTGGATTATTTGAACTTACGATCAATACATAATTTTAATTTCCATGTTTAGTTGCTGCAGGGCAGATCAGCCAAGCCCAGCAAGTGGGAGCTTCTGCAGCCTGGCAGCGGCGGAGGCGGCACACCTGAACAAGTGAGTGGGGACTGTGACGATGAGGATGTCTGTGCGGGATCAGGAAGCGGGGAAGTCAAGAGGACCTTAAAAATCACAAACTGTGAGTGTATCATTCCAATTCTACCTGAGAGTTTATTTTGAAATATTAAGAATAATAGTTATTATGAATGTAAGAAACAAGGCTTGAATTCAGAAGCACGCAAGTTGACTTGAGCATGTAAGTAAATCCATTTTTGATTATTTAGTAATGCATTCTTGTTCTTGTCTTTATTTTCAACTAGTGGTTTTTAATGGAAATTATTGTTTTCTGTGAAAACTAAGGAATGGCTAGCATTGTTAGAATTATACAGATTTTAATGTTGGGCATTTCTTAGTGCACATAATGGATATTAAACATATATACACACAAATAATGTGAAATTAGAAGTGTAAGTATGCTAAGTAATCAAATTATGTGTATTGTATTATGGTGTTATGTAAGAATTTGAACTCCATTTTCATAACCGTTCAGTTGCAAAGAAATTGCTTAGCATAAAGTTAATTATGATGATAAACAACTTGTGTCTAACACAAATTTAATCATCTCAAAATTTGCAAAATATTCAATTTACTTTGAATGTAAGGATTTGAAGCATTTCCTGCTTCTGCAGGACTGCTAAGTACTACAACAACTAAAGCTTCCGAAGAACAAAATACCACTTACAAATCCTTTGCTTGGTCTTCACATACAAATTGGAGGATGTACGTCCTTTGTGGTTCACTGTTAGCTGCCTACATTTGCTCAGATACACAGGAAAAAAAGTGATCAGATGAGAAAGAAATGTGAAGGCTCATGTACCCAGTGCATGTGGCTGCATCTAGGTGAAGGTAGACCCATTGGGCCCATGTGGAGGGTGGTTTGATAGCTGCCATCTAAATCACACCAGGCTGCTTTGGACATGGTAGAGATGCAATTGGTGGGAAAATGTGTTCATTTTTCAGTTTAATTGTAGTGATTTTAGAACATTACAAATGTCTCAAGTGTAAATTTTCTGTTTGTTGCAAGATAGCCTTTTGAAGCCAATTGTTTTGAGGAGTAAAATGGAAGCAAAATGTGGTACAACATTAAAAAGACAATTCAGATTTAAATGTTTTACGGTTACATTCACAATGCAGTAAAATATTTAACACAGAAGGTAAGTGGATGGGAGCTAATATACTTGAGAAGTAATTAAACAAAGCATCACAAGGTTCCTAGAACAAGCTAAATACCTTGTTCTGTTATGGTAGAGATAAGAATGTGTATACTCATTATTAGTATTCATATCGTGTGAATTATTTTTATCACTTTGGGAAGAGTAAAGAATTCAAATGAAAAAGAAATGTTTTTTTTTTTTTACTGGAATACTATTTTTACTATGAGTTTTACATACCCTTGTATATTTTAGAAGTTGTGTTTATCTATTATGATTATATTAATTAGTTTTTCATTTGCATCTGATCTAGTATCCATTTGTGTTATAATTTCATTGATACTTGAATTTCGCAATTCTAAGATATGAAAACTACTACAATAAAAGACCATAGTCTGAAATCTCCATCTATATATCTGTGTCTGTAAAATTGGTATTTTTGTATAGGTTTTTTCTTCCAATATTTCCTCATAAGCTCAACAGGAAACTCTTTTTGACTTGTTTCACAAGAAGTAGAGACAGTGAAGGATATTCAACTACTTACAGTCTTCTCCAAGCTATACTTGTCAAGTTGTCAAGAATTATTTTTATACTTCAAAACTTCCGTTTCAATTATTGTGGAAATGGACAGATAGGGTACGAGTAAATATCCATCAAAATTGGGAAGATTAAGATACAGATGGGTTCAGCAACTCCAGGCAAACATTAAAAAAAAAAAACCATCCACATCTTCTCTAAGTGAGTTGCCCTATGTTTCTAGAGTGCATAGCTGTTACTTTTCAATTTTTAATAAGTGGTTAAGAAACTTCTGTTGATAGCATGATGAAACAAAAAGGGGCATGGAAAGAAGAAAGAGTCAGTCATATTTCTATTTTTATGAAATGCTATCATATTAAGTCTGTGGTGAGTTTGACATGTTGGTAAACCAGGCTGTGACAGAGTTTTTGGTGGTCTTAATGTTTGAAAAAAAAAATCTGTGTTCTAAAGAAAGCTTTCAAGCGTATTGTGTTAAGAACTTGGAATATAGCATATTTTTTTCATTACACTTCATGCTCGTTCATCATAAAATATAACAAAAGTAGAAAAAAGTTTATTCTTTCCCCCCAGGGAGTCAGATTAAAATGAAGTCTTATGCATAGTAATACTTATAAATACTTACAAGGAATAATGCCAGCATTGTGGCTATAAGTTTAATGATTCTGCTTGATAATTATCACATGAGTTGTTTTTCTGGCTCTATCCCTGTCCATGGTTATTTTTAGTAGCAAAAGAGGCTCTCATACTTCAGTGTGCAAAATATACCACTTAAATATTTCTGTACCTCTTAAATGTCATTTTGTTTTCATCCCAGATGTAGTCAACTTACAATTTTGTTTTAGCTTTTAAACTTTTTCTATTTGTAATCTTACCTGTAGACTATTATTAAATGTTAAATTATGCATTTCTTATAGAAGTAATGCCTCTCTATTTTGCAATTTTCATTTTTATGAAACTGAAAACACTTTACTGTTTAAGTTTTAAGATTTAAAATAGAGCATTTTTCTACAAGTTGATTGCACTTAATTTGGCTCGCTTAAGCAGCTGTAGATATTTCACTTGTAACCTACAATTGCAAGATTGGAATGGTTTTGAATTTACATTTTGTCTCTTACCTTTTCTGACACCTGCCATACTTTCACAGTATCTGGTGCAGATTTTAAGTGTTAGTGGAAAATATGTTATCTTATTTCAGTCTTGCAGAAAAATATGACATTCCTAAAATGAATAACTCCTCAACGATTTGGCTATGTTTCTAGTGTCTCCAAATTTTACTAACTTCAGACGCTGAAATGCAAACCTGAAAGTTTGTAGCAAAAGTAGTGTGTGTGTGTGTGTGTGTGTGTGTGTGTGTGTGTGTGTGTGTGTGTGATTCTGAGAATTTCTACTAACCCTGGCTACAATTCTTATGTGGTGTTTTGATTTGAGCTACAATTACTTCACATTTATAAATTAAGGAATATATAAGTTTGAACAAATTTGTTTTGATTAGGTGTGATACAGTAGTAATTTAAGGCAAAAGGAATTTTATCATTAGTGGATTCAGAACATCCATTCAAACTACAGTGATGCTAAGTCGTTGAATTTGTTGTGACTGAATCTTTGTGGTTGAATTCACTGTGTTTGTACAAATTGTGTAGCATAACGCGTAGGTTTTAAATAATTACATTTTCCTTGCGAAACCCTTCAGTGGCATAGAAGACTGTTGTGTAATCAACTAATGCTTTCCTCCTAATGCTGGCGTGAGTCTTTGCAGAGCGTAGCAGTCACAGGTTCGTACAGACCCTGGGTTTCAGCCTTCTGCTTTCCTGGCCTGCTTACATGGTCTCCTCATCCTCCAGTCTTCCTTTACAAGAACACTGTGTGACTTTGTGTTATTCTTACCTTCTGGGGTGTTCTTTTCCTCCCAATAAGATTTCTCATGAGTCCAAATTCCAAATGTTTGAAGAGTGCACATCCTAATTCTCAAAACGGATTCATCTTTGTTCACAACTGTTTCTTGTTGCACATGCTTCCTGCTGAGTCATAGTAACAGTAATAAAGTTCCCATTCTTTTAGTTGATAATGCATTTTCCGAGATGACGTCCTAGGTATTACACTTGTTTATACAGAAAGAGCTTGATTTAAATAAGGTTAATTTAGAGAGCATAGAATATCACATGACTGTATCAGGTTGCTCATTTTCAGAAGATTGGTTGAGTATTCCCTAGTCTGAAATAGCATGAGCTTGGGTTTATAGTCCGCATTGAACTTCCCACTTGGGAACCTTCTATCAGCCTTTCATACATCCACCTTGTGGTACTGAGAATGACCTCGAAAGACAGTGGTGAATTCTGTGTGCACAGCACAAAGAAAACGGCTCTTTGTTAGCCACTGAAAAATAAAGGATGTTGATTTATTTATTGCAGGACTGCAGAATGAATGAAGATTCTTGACATTTCTTGCGTATTTGCACCATGAATTATCTTCACTTCAGATTCTCAGCTAGCCATGAGTGTTAAGGGAGTTCAGAAGATAGTGTTTTATTTTTCTTTGTGGAGCCACTGATATATTTATTCCAATTGTAAAAATTATTTCACATAACTTTAGATAGTCTGGCTTACAAGTAAGAATTTGTTGTGCTAAAGTTTTGAATATCACTTAAGATTAATTCTAAATTCATAAATGTGTATTATAAGTGTATGTATTCTTTCTAAAATTAAAATTTCACCAAATAGGATAAAGGTATTCAGATTACTTTGCGTTTTTGAAAATAGATGATTAATAAGTCTTTCCAAAGATAAAAAAGTATTGACAACCAAATAGTTTATTATTTGTTCATTTTATCTTATACTAAAAATTATTTTGTAGGGATAGTGACATTAAAACTTTTGTGATACATAAAGGGAGTCTTGAATGACTATTCACTTTAATTTATACTTTATACGTATGTGATTGAAGGATCAGATAGAGCCTTGCATGGTGAACCCATAGAAAAATTTGTAAAGAAAGGCTTCCTGATTATGCACAGTGTGCAAAACTGTAATATTTTGAAATTACTATGTAATTCAATTTTTACAATAAAAATGATGGAAATTATACTATAGGACTGAAATATGTATCTAATATAAATGTATTTTAATTGACAGGTCATTATTATGAATATTATTCTTGTTATACATCCCCGTCTTGATTTCTAAATAATTGTCACATACTAGCTGTTTTATATGTAGTTAACAAGATTATGTGCAATAGAATATGGATACCTAATGAATCATATAAAATCATTTTTTATTCTCTTGGAAATTTATATACTGCATTCATGGGTATAAATAGTATAATTGAAATAAGAGTCTGCACTTGAATGCCTAAGTGATGATTTTGATTACATTTGCTTAGACTGATGTTAAATCACTGAGATGAAAAGGGGAAGCTTACTAATAAAGCTTAATA